GGGTGAGAGGCCAACACGGGGGGCAAGAACTTGCTGTGTTCAAGATCGGGATTTCTCAATGCTTGGAACGAAGGGCTATGTACTACTTCGATGCCAATTTTGATGAAATGGTATGCATACATGCTACTAATTCACTTGCACAAGTGGAAGCCTTGGAGGCTTGCTTGGTAGACTTTTATAGGGACAAAGCGCCACGACAGTGTCGCAATGTTTTACCCGGAGGTGAAGGGATGCGGAGAAAGAATGGAACTCCCAAAAACCCACCTCCCTACTTTGTTTATGTTGTTGCAGCTAATGCGTCACAAATGAAACGCATTGGTTGCTGAAATTAGTGTGCTGGAAGTTGACTCAATTTCCATGCGAATTGAGCAGAATGTTCCCTTTATGCTTAGGGGGGGTGGTATTCTAAAAAGAAACATTACCTTACGGGCTAAGAGTCCGGCAATCACCATCCATTAATCCCTTGGGGAGGAAAAGAAAACAACTCATCATTGAGCAATGGATGCCACGTTTTATTCTATGTGCTGTCACTGCACCTGCCACTCACATTTCCTGCCAAGCACAGTTCCAACCTAAGGCTTTCTCCATGCGGCTCCAAGAGAGGGAGTTCAAAGGGGGATTCAACACGAAGAACCTCTACTACCTGTCGGTATCCTGGCTTCAGAAGGATCAGTTCGGTGCTGCTCGCCTTTGCCGTGAAGTCACGGATGCGTGGTGCCAGAAAAAGTTCAAGCATGCTGGGCAAGAGTTTACATCAGATGCTCCTGAACTCTCAAATCAAGAGATCGAAGCAGTTCCAGGTGGAAAGGCTTCTTTGGGGCAGCTTGATCAAATCAAGTTTGAGATCCTGGAACGCACTACGGGTGACAAGCTTAGCATCAAGGCTGACGAGCACAAGTATTGGAATTCTCAGGGGGGCGAGATTTCTGAGACCTACAACCAGTTGCGTGCAAAGCACCTGGAACTCATTGGGCAGCAAAATTCGATTGCAGGACCTGAGGACCCATCTACTGCCCCGCCAGTCGAAACCAATGTGGAGGATGAGTCAGGGGATGTCACCATGGAGAGTCTTGCCAAGTTAGAAGAGAAACATGGGGTGGAACAGAAAACAACGAGTGAAGTGAACAATGTTGAGATCCTACGTTGCAAGGATTCATCGGTGTGGTTGCTGTCCAGTCAGGACAAAACTCTTGCCAAACATACCATCTTAGGAGGGTATGGCACGGGACAGTGGGTCCCTGACAGCGATGATTCGCCTGGCGTGCCGTTCAGCATCCCCGAAGGTGACAAAACAACAATCCAACTCGATGAGGTGAGTTTCAACCCTGAAGCCCAAGGTGTTTCTACCATGTCTCTCTTCAAAATGCTTGTCCGTGCTGAACGGGAGAAAGGCTTGACTCAGCACAGAGTCTCCTTCCTCTCCATTGAGCGCAAAGTGGATGGTGCCATCGAGGCCGGCCAAGACGGATTTGATGTGAAAGTGAAATTGCCGCAGAAATTCAAATGCATGCGAGACCCAAGAGCTACTGATAGTAGCCAGGAAAAGATTTCGATGAAGAATATCTTTGCAAAGGCTTTGGGGTCCACTCATGGAAGCCAACACATCATGCATTTGTTTCGGTACAGGTATGAGAAGATTGGCCAAAATTTCAAAATCCAAAGGCCGTACGTGGTTACCAAGCGGGGCATTACCCTCAAGAAGGATTGCCCACTCAAAGTGTCTGGTAGTTCTTAGGGATAGCTTTTGATGGCCCTACTGTTCACCCAATGGTTCTTGAACTTATTACTACATAACCTTCATCTATCCATACCAACCGGAGATCCATGGTTCCCCCAAAAAAAGACAATTGAATTGAACACAGTTACATATTCTGAAACATTCTCAAGCTATGTTTTGTCGTGATCCGAAGGGTGAACTACGCGGGTGGTGCCAAAGCTCTTGGGGGCTGCAGGCTGCATATGCGACATTCCTCATTATGTCATTGGTCCCAACTGCCACTGTTAAATTGAATTCCATCATGATGCCAATTGTGGCCTTACCATCATTTTGTCTGACAACTATATCTGACATAGTTTCTGTTTTTGTTCATCTCATTCCGTGCAGCCTGCAGTGACCCCAAGTTTTTGATCCTCCAATCTCACCGGATTTCTCGCAGTGGGCGCAGCTTTGCCACATAAAGCTCTCACAGTTTCAGCGTGTTTGTTTTTTTTTACTATGGCCATGTGAGAACAAGCCACATTATTTATGATCTCAGTCTGATCGTGTTTCCTTTTGATTTTCCAATGCTTCATCAATCCGGGTCTCATTTACGCTGAGAAGTGGGGTGTGAGAGTCGTCGGCAACAGCCTAGGCGTCCTGCTTAGATATGAGATCAAAAGACAGTGGATTGAAAGAAACAAATGTACTGAGACTGTCATTTCAACCTTTCTGTTTCACAAGCACCAATCGATAAATTGCAAGTTGACAGCATCATGAATCAGAAAGAAAATGTGGTTAGTTCATCATCCTAATCTTCTCCAGCATCAATTCCCTGTTGAGTTTGGGGTTCTCGAACTTGAAAACATGTTGCTGGCTATCATACACAGACTTCGTGCCTAGATGACAACAAGTTATATACTATAAGCTTCATTCACGTCAAGTGTTCAATTGCAACAGGTTTCTGGTATTACCGCTTGTCATCTTTGAAAAGTTTGAGGTTCAGAAATGGAATTTGCCGGCCATCTGCGTTTTCCCGTGGCAATGGTCTTGCAGTTCGCGATGGTAAAGTCGGTATGGGATGGTTTGGAAGTTCAACATGGGCTAGGTGGATTGGGGCACCGCCATTCCTTTGAATATGAGTTGATTCGGGAGACCCTCATGCAAGTTCTTCCCATTTACCGTGGGGATGGTACAAAGATTGAGGCCATACTTGAAGTCATTCAGTTCCTCACCGTGCTGAGTTGTCTTACTTTCACAGCTTCCATGAATGGAGATACTGACGAGCTACACACTTGGGTTGAAGTGGAGGACATTGTGCCAAGGCACATCTACACTCCTGTGGATCCCCAAATTGACTTTGAGATTGAAGCCCGAAACAAATTTTTGCCCCAGTTGGACCATTACCAACACGTGGTCGAGAAATCAATCAAGAACTTGGATGGTTTGCTGGCCGAGATTTTGACCTCAGCGTCCTACATCTGTGCCCAACTTCGCCTGATGAAGTACTTGCTGCAAGACTTAGATCTGCTGCTGAAAGAGTTTCGGGCAGAGAAGGTCAATGAGCAAAGCTCACCTTCCATGAATGATATGTCCGTTTAGCTTAGATTACAAGCCTGGCTAGGATTTCCTCCAAATTATGCTTAGATTTTACATGGGGACAAGTTTGCAGGAGGATGAAAAAACAGAATGCTTTGATAGCTTTGGGGGGTACCTCTCTTTTTTGAAACAACATCATCATGAAAACGACGAGTGGAATCAGAAATAGGTTCTGACTTGCTAGTCACTGCTAGTCCAACGCCAGGTTTTGCCATTACTTGTTTTTCACCTCGCTACTTCGTGTCACCCCAATCAGAAAGCTTCACTAGAATCCTCAGAAGAAACATACTGGGATTACGAGCCACATGTTTGAGAAACTTTGGATGACTGACTGTAGTTTTCTATAGTTTTCTGATAGTTTTGGCTCGTTTTTTTTCAAAGAGGAGGCTGCTTATAGCTAGTAGCCCGGGACCATGGCGTTCAACATCCATGCCCAGATTATGGCAAATTTTGGGCCAACGACAAGTCCACCTACCAGACCTGGGACTAGACCTGCAGCAAATGCAGAGTCAGCAGCACCCAACAAAATGACTGATTCTCAGCCCAGGTCAGTTTTGGTGGAGTCACCACCGCCGGGAGAAGACCCCCCTGTTGCACGAGGGCGAGGGAGAGGAAAAGGAAGGGGACGAGGTAGCAAGAAAGCTGATGCTGATGGCACCCTGGATTTATATTTTTCCCCACCTGCCAGGTGAGGGTTGTTAGATTTTATCACAGTTGTTCTCGGCTAGCTTCTCCTCCTTCCTCCTTCCTCCTCCTTCCTCCTCCTTCTCCTCCTTCTCCTCCTTCTCCTCCGCCTCCTCATCCTCCTCGTCCTCCGCCTTCTCCTCTGCCAAGCTCTTCGCCAACTCTTTGCCAACCTCTTCGCCAAGCTCTTCGCCAACGTCCGAGCTCAGTGAGCACCGCTGGACCTCAACCTGGGACCGTCCGAGCTCAGTGAGCACCGCTGGACCTCAACCTGGGACCTGCCCAGCTCAGTGAGCACCGCTGGACCTCAACCTGGGACCGTCCGAGCCAGTGAGGCACCGCTGGACCTCAACCTGGGACCTTCCCAGCTCAGTGAGCACCGCTGGACCTCAACCTGGGACCTGCCCAGACCGCTGGACCTCGACCTGGAACCTGCCCAGCTCAGTGAGTTGCCAGAAGATATCCCAAATAGAATGCCAGATGGAATGCCAGAAGATATGCCAAGTAGAGTGCCAGAAGATATGCCAGATAGAATGCCAGAGGGTATGCCAGACAGATAGAATGCCAGATAGAATGCCAGAAGATATGTCAGAACATATGCCAGAAGATATGCCAGATAGAATGCCAGATAGAATGCCAGAAGATATGTCAGAAGATATGCGAGAACATTTGTCAGAAGATATGCCAGATAGAATGCCAGATAGAATGCCAGAAGATATGTCAGAAGATATGCCAGAACATATGCCAGATAGAATGCCAGATAGAATGCCAACAAGATATGTCAGAAGATATGCCAGAACATATGCCAGATAGAATGCCAGAAGATATGCCAGATAGAATGCCAGAAGATACGTCAGAAGATATGTCAGAAGATATGCCAGAAGATACGTCAGAAGATATGTCAGAAGATATGCCAGAACATATGCCAGATAGAATGCCAGATGGAATGCCAGAACATATGCCAGAAGATATGCCAGATAGAATGCCAGAAGATACGTCAGAAGATATGTCAGAAGATATGCCAGAAGATATGCCAGATAGAATGCCAGATAGGATGCCAGAAGATTTGTCAGAACATATGCCAGAAGATATGCCAGATCGAATGCCAGAAGGTATGCCAGATAGAATGCCAGAAGATATGCCAAGTAGAGTGCCAGAAGATATGCCAGAAGATTTGCCAGTAAGAACATGTATAAATGTCATGGTGGGGATCACACGAAGTAAAGTAATTTTGTCGATTGTGCAGGAGTTTCTCCTCATGTCTCCACATGCAATAAGTAACTACTTCGAACACCAACACTACATAAGACTGATTTCATTGTTCCTTGTTAGTTGTGTGTCTTGTCAGTCACTAACATCCCATAATCAAATACCCAACAGATTTGCACTATTATAGAGCATTGGGGAACACTTTGCAAACCCTACTGAAAGTTACTTCGAATGTTCCTGGCCTCTTAGGTAAGGCTTCAGCTTCGACCCCTGTGCCCTTGAAGCGGCCAGCTGCTGCTCCCCGAGCCGAGCTTGAGAGAAAAGATAAAGAAAAGACTGACACAGAAGTGGCAGCGTCTCCCAGCAAGACAAGAAAGACTGAGACTGAGATGAAAAAACCAGCAGCTGCTCCCCAGAAAACACCAGAGACCACACCGGTGAAGACCCCCAAGAAAGGCAATGCGGATTTGTTTGGTCAGGAATCTGAAACTGAGAAGACACCTCGTGGACGTTTACCTACTGCTAAGACTCCTGATTCGAGCAAGCCAGAGGTTTTGAAAAAACCAGCATCTAAGGCGGCTGCTGCTGCAGGGGGACGCAACACTGATGTTGTTGAAACAGTCCACCATCATGGTGGTTGGAAAGTTTTGAAAATCAAGACTCCAAAGGGCCGTGTGTACCCCAAATTCGTTGCGCCAGATGACACATATTTTTTCAGCTTGAAACAGGCTCAGGAGAATGGGTTCTCTGATAACCCCTGTTAGATCATTAGATGGTGTGGCCAGCGAATGACCAACGTGCGGTAAGAGGAGAACGGGAAAAATGCAGCAGCACCCGCAGCAGCAACAAAACATGAAAGAACCAAAGAGTGAAAAGACTATCTTTTTTGAGAATGCCTTATATATGTGTGTGTGTGTGGACTTAAGTGGAGATGCATTTTAGTACCGTTAAGTGCACACCAATCAGATGTAATTACCTGCCCCCCATTACAATAGTAAAGACATGGCTTCATGAATCTTAATCTGCACAGCACATAATCGATGTACTCTACCCTGAAATCACTATCTGCTGGACTACTGGGATGCGAGACCAAGAAGGATCGGTTTTCGCTTCTTCAGCGCATCCCACGGCAGCGCCAGGTGTTTCAGCATGTTTCATCATATGTCCGCCCTTATGACCTTGACTTTACTAAGGCAGCACAAGAGTTCCTCCATCTATCAAGCAGTTCAAGCAGGCACCCTCAGTCGCATCTCCTGCTCTGCATTTTCCGCGGTTTCTCCAGCCTCCGCGTCGCACAAAGAGGGAGTCCTTCCTATGGAAACGTGCAGCTGAAAGTGTTGAGGGTACCTGGGATGCCACGTTTGTTACATGCGTTACCGCTTGTTTGAACCCACCTGCCTCTTCCCGACCTTCGCCGTTTGCCTGCGGTGTTGGCCAAAAGCGGGTGCGGAGGTTCTCAGCAGGTCATGTTACAAATGGGCACAAAATATGTATTAATATCATTTAATATCGTTGTATAGTGCATATCCTTCCATTTGCCGGACCCGAAAGCTGAGCATTGTTTTGCCTCTCATTCTTTGGAGAGATTAAGATCTGTTTGATGTATCAGCCAACTTACAGAGGCTGGTCGAGAGCTTCGAGAGATCTTTGGCTCGAAATCCACTGAAAAATGCAGCTGGGAGCGCAAATTGCCATATGTTCTGGCAACGATCCTGCCACATGACCAAGTCAATCCACAGTGAAACGCTTAAAAAAAATGCCATGCCAATGAATGGCAATGCATCACTATGTGCAAGGACCAAGTCGATTCATTAAACATGTCTGGAATGTCTGGAACCGGCACATCAGCTTCAACGTGCACTCACCGGACGTCGCATAGCAGGTCCTGCATAGGCTGTTTTGATGAACATGAAGTCCGTCAATCTCTACACGAGGTCCAAAGCTGTGCAATCACTAGATTCATCGGATTTACCTCATCTGGGAGCAGTAAGTATACCGGGTATATATAAATCATAAATCCGTGAATATCTGTTAAAATATGTTAAAATTGCTATGTCTATGTTATGAGTATACAATAGTATACATTTATTGTATCTAGGTCGGTCACAAATCCAATATCCACATCCATGTGGGCCACCTGAACGGCTGCCAGGGCGGCAAATCGCGAAGGCAGCACCAGCAGGTGCGCCAGCAGCAGGTGGACGGGGGAAAACGCCGTTGCCAGTGGCACTCTTGTTGGCAGCCTGCAATGCTATGGCTGCTATGGATGCAATGAATCTCATTGATTTAGCAAATGCTAAAAATATGTATATAAAAGTACTTGCATGCTTTAATGTAATGATTTAACTCGGCATAATATGGCAACCAAATTGGTTCCCACTTGCGGGGAAAATTGGCCGTCCATTTCACGCTTGGTCTAGAGTCATGGGCCGCTATGTTCACAACAAACAATCTCTAAATCAACGAATTTCAGATTTGACCCCACTCCCTTGCAGTTCCACCAGGAAAATGATGGAAAAGTCAAGGTTAACATCCAAGCTACCAATCCATCCCCAACGGCCCAACGGTCCCCCATCGGCCCCGCGTTTTCCACCTCAAGCTGTTTCTGCAGCTCGGGTGGCAAAGCAGGAACCGCCTGGAGGATTTTCTCTCGAAGTTGTTGGAGCGGCGAGGGAGCATCACCTGACCGATGCCCCATGGTGCCACGGTGCACCACGGGATGGAAAAGAACTTCAGCCGCCAGGAAATTCGGTTGGTTTAAAAAACCGAAAGTATAGAACATGGAACATATACTAACCTACACACTTTTCGCCCTTCAGAACTTCTGCGGCAGGTACCACAATAGGTCAAATATGGCGCATGCTTTCGAAAGGATCTGAAATGGCGCACGCGTTGCCAACCAGCCGCAGAATGGAGACCAGGAAGGATCACAAGAGAAACGCTTATCCATTTGTTTGCAAATCTTCGAGAAAAGACCGTATAGGGTCTATAGACTATAGACGTCTACAGTGTGTTAAAAACAAAAGAACTATGTATCATGAAGTGCTCAAAAATTCGCTCCCCACCTCGTATTGCTCCTGCTGAATACGGCCGGCGTGGAGGAACTTTGGCGAAGCCAGTGCCTCCCAGTTTGCTTCAAATGTCAAAGGGGCTGTGTGTTTGCAGATCATTACATACGTTCTTTGACGGGTTCAGTGCTGATTAATTATGTCATCCAGTTTTTTTTCAGTGGTTCCTTCTGCTGGCCATTCCGGAATATCCCGATGCTACCAATGGCAGTACTTGCCGTGCCTGCAAAGTTTGGGCTTGAGATGTAACCAGGCGGCTGCGCCTTTGGCTGTGCAGTGTCTTTTCGACTTTTGGAAACAAAATTTCTGGTGAAGTTAACTCCTGGGATCTCCTGGGCTGAGTATTTGGCTGCTTTGGGAGAGGATCCTTTCCCAGTCAATGTCAAATCGGGATGCTCACTCCTTGGAGGGTTGGCGTGGGTGGGATTGGGGCCGTTTGGGGCCTCTCAAAATATATTGGAAGATGAAACGAAAATCTGTTCCCGAACACATACATACATAGTGCCGACTTGATTTTGAAGACAAATGGTATTCATCTGGCTGCGTGTAGTCATCGTATAGTCTAGAGAAACATTAGCATCCAGCGCATGTTGAACGGTGCAGAACGGTGCAGAACGGTGCTGGGAAGCACACCGTAGAGCTCTCCAACCAGGGGATGAGCTCCGACTCCTTCGCCGAGGCCCCAGCTATCGTTGAAGCCACTTCCAGGTGGCCAAAGGATGAATGCTAAGGTAACGCTAAAGGTATCTGAAGCTGAGATTTTCGCTGACTTCCCTGACTTCATATTTCAAGCAAATCCAAAGGCATGGGCTCCTTGCTCCGCGTGGTGGAGATGGATCTCTTGGGCCCTTTCCCTCGCAGCGAAAGCCACATCGCAGCCGAACGATGTCAAATCCCAACCGATGCTGAAAGGAGATGTGTAGTGTTGTCTCAGTCTTAGAACTAGAACATTCCAAATCATACGCAGTTAAACTTATTCAAAATCAGAATGTCATCATATAATTATGTTATATCATATATATATATATCTACAAACAAGCTTAATGCACCTCATCTTGCTGTTGTTGGATTAGTGGGCCCACTGGTGATCCTAATGCCTCCAAATGCTGCGCAAGATCTTCTGTGCGGCGCTCCAGTACATCGAATGCCTCCAATCGGTCCTGCAAATTCGTGCGCCAAAAATTGTTTTGTGGAACCAAGGATACAAAGTACTGCAGTCTGTCGATGTGTGATCATCTTTTGTTGTCGCTTTCACTTGCAGAATTCAGGCAGCCTAAACGAGTTTGCTATCAGCTGGAACAAGCCTTTGCTAGCTGTGAGTCCTCCATGATTCTGCCCAAGCGATGCAATCCTTAGAAACCGACGCTAATGCTCAGGTCGTTCAATAGATTGCTCAAGATTCAAGTACTTCAGAATAAAAGCGCCTCTACCTGGGTATGTCCATAACTAAGAGGAAATCCGTAGTCTGAGTGGTCTATTGTAGACCGGAAACGTCCCAATCCATGGAATCTATTATGGAACACCCACAAACATGGGCGCCATGTTTGATGAGATTTTTCATCCTGGTCCTAGGTCTTCTTATGTCTTCATCTTTTTCCCTACAGCCATCGGTTTTTCCACCGGGCATCGATCCATCTCGTCCCTGACTTGGCTCCGCCATTGGACCAAGTCCTGCATGTCCTCCAGGCATTGCACGATCTCTGCGCTTGAAACTCCAGCCTGGAGCCGGGATACATCGGGATACACCAGTACACCAGCAAACCAAAAGCGGCATGGCTCATGTGAAGACTTCAACTACCTTTGAACATCTTATCTACATCTTCTCTAAATCTTCATCATTTTGAAACATGTCGATAAAATCTTGGTGTATGAGTGTATGATGGTGTATGGATGTATATGGTGTATGATGTTGAGCGCATTGTCCTGTTTGCCCTGCCCCAGTATGACAATTCTAGGCCATCGATGGCCATTGGTGCTACAGCTGTCACTGGCCACTAGGCTCATGACCTTGGACAGACCTGTGTTGATGCGATCATTTCCACCTGGCGATCCTGTGGTGCAGGAGGGGATCTGCAGAAAAACCCAACATACATTTCAAGTATTTTCCAGTAAGATAAGTAAGCTGTTCGCACTGTCATTCTCCTCACAAACGTCAAGGCACCACTACATGATGATTGATATCGACATACTTCAAACTGTACATCATTATGATAAACATCGGGCTTGAGGCAACCAGGAGAATCAACTCACAGCTTGCAGTCCCTTGTTACCTTCATGCATGCTGACGTCAGGCTCACAGATTTGAGCCTCAGATGTGTCTGCCGCATGAACATGGGCCGCTACTGTATTGCCCCCGGCAGTCCAAGTGTGGCCTCCCCAGGAAAGGAACTGAGGGGCCAAGTGTTCTTAGTGATTTGCAGAATTTTGCAGCTGAGTATCTCTTTGAAGTTGATCAGCAACATGCGCAAAGCCTTCCTCTATTATCTCAACTCGCCTAGGTCAACAGCTTTTGGGTGGTTGCAGTCAGAGTAATTTGACTATCAAGGCATGTCAAAGCATGTTAAATCATGTCAAGGCTATCATGGTGCCTGTACCATTTGACGACCGGCCCAAAGTGCCGGTACATGCATCAACTTTGGCACTGCAGCTGAGCCTTCCGCTTGTTCAAGTCTTTGAATTCATTGGACATATCCTCCTTTGTGTCTGAAATCTCGGCGTCCATTCTTAGCAAACCTCGCAGAGAAACTTAACTTCTCTAAGATTGCTCACCGCATCCCATAATCAAAGATTGAACTCAATCAGCCAGTCCCCAAACCGTCAAACTTGACACGTGTTATATAAGGTTGGAAAATTGCGAACCATTTCGGAACTTCATCAACCAACCAGCCTTCGTCGACACGCGACACCACACCTTGCGTCTTGGAGAGAGGAACAAAGAATTCTTTGCAAGCTGATTCGTGCCAGCTGATTGATGTACTTTCATTTGACAACAATGCAGAATTGACTTCTTGTTAAAATTTGCTGCCTCATCAAAGTGACTGACATATACCAGGACGGAATGCCAAGGACCGAAAACCGAAGGACACTACCAGTGACAGTCTGAGTTTCCGACTTTCCACCTCCTGCCTTGCTGCTGTCGAAGATCGCATCGCATTGGCGCAGGCCACCTCTGCCTTGTCTTGCCTCCCGGGCTACAAGCTGCACTCGTCAATCAGGTCTATCACGTGCAGCACATGTTCCAAAAATGTCCAATGCTAAGACATGCTAAGACCATCTGCGGAACTATTTTGAAACAAAAAAGTTCATCATGTTTCTGATGATTTGCACATGGAAGATGGGTGTTTTCCATGGTTTTCCTACTTCCATGTAGCACTCCCATACAAATCATACAACAAATAAAAAGCAATTAGGCACATAATGGATCAAAATGGCACAGGTTGCAATTCATCGGAGTCATCGACTCCGCAAAAACGCCTCTGCGACAAAGAGTCCGCTTCACCTGAGACGCCATGACGGTCCAGAACGTGTCCTTGGTGGTCAAGAACCTGAAACCGGTGCAACTTGGGCGCTACCAGTGCATAGTCGGAAATGCTACAGGCAAGGAGGTTCATGATTGATGGATAGAAAATGATAGAAAACCATACCAGCAGCAACTCATTCGAGTTTTATCCTGTGTATGACGTAGCACACCCAGAATAGAGCACTGGACATAGGCGTGTACCATCTGACAGCGCTTAGGTTTTAGAACTGTCCACAGAGCCCACGGGCAATGCCTGAGAGATACTTTTCAAGCGATCCGTGTGGACAGTGAGTTTCCTCAGCTCTGACGAAGCTCGCAGTGTTTCCCTTCAGAATGTGTTTTTCTTGAAGAAACAACTATGCACCCCTTGAATTTGACAGGCACACCATGTGTCTCTGTTGCACATGTTGTTTCCATTTGAACACGGTGGTCCTATTTTTTTCAATTGCCAGTGCGAGCAAATTGAAGAAAGCGTCTTTTCGCAAGCCTTGATCAGAGCCGCCTGTCCTTCCACGACATCCTGCAAAGCGGTCCCGCAGTCGGCTAACCTCTTTAGATTCACTAGAAAACCTAGTGTGGTTGCGACCAAAAAATCAAAAACATCCAAAAACGTAAAACAAGTTAAGCATTGACGGCTCGTACCCAGGTCAAACATAACTGCATCTCGTCAGGCTGTCCTTCCCAGCCAAAATCGAAGTCATCTCGTCCAGGCGCTCGTAGATGGCTGGCGCAATGAAAATGCGTCCAGACTCCAAATTTGTGGTTCCGAATCCCAGAAAATTCACAAAATCCATCATAAATATATATATATACGTGTATATATGAAAATATAAATATATGTATGTAGGTGTATATATATATGTGTGTGTGTATGCATTAAATATTTATGTATATATGTATATATGTATATATGTATATATGTATATATGTATATATGTATATATGTATATATGTATATATGTATATATGTATATATGTATATATGTATATATGATTATATTATATATGTATATATGTATATATGTATATATGTGTATATGTGTATGTGTATATTTATGTATGTATGTATGTATGTATGTACGTATATGCAAATTTGTAAATATATGTATGAATATAGAATCTATATAGAAAATATACCGATATATTTGTTACATTATAGGATATACCTATACATGTCAAATATATATATATATGTGTATATGTATATGCATATATGTATGTATGTATATGTATATATGTACATAAATGTATATGTACATAGATATGTATATATATATAGATATATGTATTCAAATTTAAATATGTATATGTATATATATATATATATATTTATATATTCATATATATTTATAAATATATATATATATATGTATTTGAATATGTATATATATATATGTCTATATATAAACATATGTATATATACGTATATATATAAGTATATATGTATAATCTATATTTATATACATATGTAAAATGTATGTATGTATTTGCATATGTGTTTATGTGTTTATGAACATATGTATATATATATATGATTATATGTATATATATATGTGAATATTATATATATATTTATATTCATATCATATCATATCATATCATATATACTATCCGCCGACCCCTGCCGACCCCTGCCCCCTGCCGACAGCAGGAGGAGCGCGTTAGAGAAGCAATTTCTGGCAACAAAGGAAAATAAGAAGAATCCGCCGGCCCCTGCCGACAGCAGGGGGACCGGGCGAGGAGCAAGAACCAACAAGGCTAACAGTGTCGCGTCAGAAAGCAACGTTAGGCATTTGGCCCCCCGGCTTCGTACCTGATCCGTCCTTCAGTAGCATGTTGTTTGGATGTGGCGAAGCGCGGCGAAGCTACCGTTTTTGGCACAGGCCGCCACAAGGTGAAGGGCTTGTCCGTCCTTTAGTTGCATGGTGTCTCGGTGTGTGAGAGCCAAGGTTTCGGACGCTTGAAGGCTGCAATTTGGAGCTAGTTTCTTGTCGGTTCAGAAAGCATTGTTAGGCAGCGGCAGCCGCAGGCCGAAGGCCTGGTCCGTCCTTCAGTTGCATGGTGTTTCGGTGTGCGGCGACACCAAGGTTTTGGAGGCTTGAAAGCTGCAATTTGGAGCTAGCGTCGGTTCAGAAAGCAACGTTAGCCGCAGGCCGAAGGCCTGGTCCATCCTTCAGTTGCTTGGTGTTTTGGTGCGGCGAGGTTTTGGAGGCTTGCAGGCTGCAATTTGGAGCTGGTGTCTTGTCGGTTCAGAAAACAGCGTGAGGCAGGGACTTGCAGGCTGCAATTTGGAGCTATATGTTTCTTTCAAAAAGCAGGGAAGGATGTCATTAGCAGAGAAAAGGATTGTTCAAGGTGAGCAAGTTCTAGCCCCTTAATCCGGCGATGCCGCCGTGTGGTGTAGCCTGCAGCTAGCTTTAGCTACTGGGGCCAAAAAAGATGCTGAAATTATAAGATGCTTTTGGAAATCGATTTTGGACCGTTTTTCAACCATTTTTTGACATTTTTTTGCTGCGCTCGGGAAGGAAAAACATCGTAAAATACAATGTTTATGGAACCTGCATCTTGCAACACGATGAAGCTGCGCAAATACCAGTGTTTTTGCTGGGCAATGGCACGAAAACACTGTAAATACTCTGATTTTTGCTACCAGAGGCAAAAAATCATCGTAAATACCGTGGCTTGGGGCTTCCGAGGCGCAAAAAATATCGGTGTTTATGGTGTTGTTTGCTCCGAGAGTTTGAAAAAAACGTGAAAACACCACCTATTTGACGATTTTCGGCCACTACGAGATTGAGAAAAAAAGCTGCAGGGGCAGCAACAACAACAACAACCACCACCAACGACCAACGACCAACGACCAACGACCAACAAACAACAAACAACCGACAACCAACAAGAAGAAGAAGAAGAAGCACAAAAATGTGACAAAAAATGTGTGGTAAGAGGGTTACAAGCTGAGATATGAAAGTATATCACACTGTGCTCTGCACCTGCGCGCACGCGCAGAGCACACGCACAACACCAACACTCACACTACTATACATAACCCTTATGGCATCGCCGGTGCGCGAAGCTCTATAATATAATATAATATAAAATAATATAATATAATATAAAATAAAATAATATAATATAATATAATGTAATGTAATGTAATGTAACAGAATGTAATGTAGTGTAACATAACATAATATAACGTAATGTAATATAATACAATACAATATAATATAGTATAATACAATATATACAATTTTCATGCAATCCATGATTTGCAAACTGCAACTCAATTTTTCCTCGAATGGGGAATTTCGATCGGATACAACTCCTGTACATATCGTTCTCAGACTCACTTATCACAAAAATAAAGTACACAGATGGATAAGCTGTCACTGCGATATATGAACTACCCGATGATACCCCCCTCAATGAAAGCCCCCCCCCCATCTACAGACTTCCTGTAGATGGGAATCCACAGACTTCCTGTGGAAAAGGGAGGTGGGTGGGTCGAAAAACTTGCCAGGGGGTGTGGCCTTTATCCAAAATGGCCACGGGTTTGCAAACGTTGCAAGACAGTCTCTGTCTCTCCTCTGTCATTACTTGCATAAAAGGCATGATTACTTCGTAACATGTTGCTTTCATGCAATCCATGATTTGCAAACTGCAACTCAATTTTTCCTCGAATGGGGAATTTCGATCGGATACAACTCCTGTACATATCGTTCTCAGACTCACTTATCACAAAAATAAAGTACACAGATGGATAAGCTGTCACTGCGATATATGAACTACCCGATGGTACCCCAATCCTCGTAGTTCAACTTAGGCGTCACATACTGTACATCAAAATGAGCCTCGACCTCAGAGAAGTCCAGCCTCGACGGTCCGTCAGATATATTGGAAGGAGATGGGATCCTACTATACCATGACATGGAATGATTCGTGGCGTCTTGTAGCATGCACTCTACCAGTATCTTCTTGCACGCTGGAGCTGGTCGTGCCTTTGACCATAGCTTCTTTCACTCCATCGTTGTCTATGAAGTATAAGACTCTGGCTCTGTGCAGCAAGTTCCCCATCTGTCGTTTCACTATGGCAATCGGTAACATTTCTGCTTGCGCAATCAGCTGTTCAGCCCCATACTTTCGCCAATCTTTGACGATCTCATCAGGGATGATAAAGCCGAAGTCAAGAACTTCCTTTACCCTGGGGGAGAATATCACTGCTCCACATGACGCCACATCATTCTCAAAGGCTCCATCGGTGAACACAATGCATGGAGGCTCGCGCCCAATGGTGTCTATCTCTCTGGCTGGTGCTGAGCTTAGCATCCTCTCACACTGAAGCAAGGCTCCTCTAATATCTTCTGACAGCCACCTGACAGACCTTGGAAGGAGTGCTCTGCGCTTGATTGGGTCCAGCAGCGGTGCGAGCCACCTGCCCGAACACTGCGCTTCTGCATAGGTCAGCCTGCCTTGAACTCTTGCCGCAAGCGCTGGCGAGAATTCACTTGTCTTCTCCACCTGCTCGATGGTATCCCTCAGCTCTGCCATCCTGCTGGGCTTGTTCTTGATCACCACGATGCCTTCCGCAGACCTGCTAAGGTCTACCAATACACCCAGTACAGCAAACTGGGGCATCGGGGGAAGTCTCTTCTTGGCTTCTCTAGAAATCTGCCATCCCAGAATATCCAGAAACTCTTCCATCACAACTTGCGACTTAGCCGCCATACACTCAGCATCCACGTGTGGGAAGTCGTCGAAGTAGTTCACAACTGGCAAAAAGAGAAGCTTACGCATCAGGTCTCTGAGCGCCCTTGCAATCCGATTGAACCCCATCACTGCCCCGGTCGCTCCAAATGGGAGCACCTTACTAATGAAGTACCTCACGCGCCCTTGGTGAGGGTCCCACACTGCCAGGACGGCGTTGGCTTGATCCATGGGGCACAACGGCACTTGCTTGTACGCACTCTTGAGATCTAGGCACCTCCCCAGCAAACGGAGCCGGCTGCCAATCCTGAAGTCCTGGTGCAATGGCCCTTGCATCCATGTGCCATCACTAAGCTGGGTCTTAACCCACCCATCAGGCTGGCACTGCGCAGCTAAACCAACTACTTCATCCAAGCCTCCAAGGTCAAGCTTCTCTGGCGTACCGTATGCTAGGTTCACTGCAAACTCACTCATGTCATCAATGTTCCTGACCTTCCCAGCTTGGACTATACCAAATCTTCTACATGGGGTCCATAGCTTGCCAACTTTGGAGTCCACCTCACCAGATTCAAGTGGCCCATCCAGCCACCCTTTCTGAGCTTCGCCCATCGTAGACTCCCACACGCTTGCAGCTATGTCTATCATGCCACTCTCAACCTGAACCTGACCACTCCTCATATGCAGTGGGACTTTCTCCGAGACTTCCGCTTGCGCCGATTTCGCACTCCTCCACAAGTCCTCTCTCTCTATCTGAGCTGGCTTGAACTCAGTTGCAAATGTTCCGGTCACTTTGGCATTGCCCGTGATCTGAAGGCCTCCTCTCAGGTCATCAACTAACTCTTTATCTACATAGCCTATCGACTGCAACAGTTCAGCCAGAAGAGATAGGTTCTTGCCCTTGAGGATTTCTCGGACATCAGGGTGCATAACAGCTTTCATGGCCATTTCGGTCTCACTGAGGTCTCGCACTCTCTTCTTCAACCCTGCCAAAACTCCTACCCTGTACTTGTGCATAGC